CGCCCCAAAGCCCCAAATGCCAACCCTTTCTCTCCTCCGGGACCGGTGGAATTGGGTAGCAAAGTTCCCGGTTGTGAGAGGATAAGAATACTGAGTCGCACGTTGCCTTAGCTTTCCCATGTCATTGTATATAGGCTACATCGCATTCAATAAGTCACTGCGATACTGAATGGATGTGGAATGCGTGCCGCATCCCAAGAAGGGATTAATTACCGGCGAAAGCTTCACCCTTTATCCTCTTTAATCGCAAACTCGATGCCATTATATTAGTCTCGTAAAGGGAACTAAGAAAGATGCCCCAGCGATGAAACCAGACCTACGGCGCTTCATTTAGCGCTTTCCTTATCACGTTTTTTCGTCGTTAAAGACCCATTCCAAGATTGCAAGTCGCGTTTAATGGGGTCCATATATGAATTCGCACGTGCTCGTGGACTTATCAGCGAAGAAAAAGCAAATGAAACCTCCGAAAACGATCTGAAAAAGGATCTTTTTCAGTTGGCTTTGAGTAGTGGACGAGCATTAGGGTGCAAGAACTGGTAGGTGATGAGACACTGAGTACTTGGACGAGAGACTATGCAACTGCAGGCCAAGCATCCCCACAAACGCGGACAGCGGAAGTCGATCGCAACAAGTATCTTTATGAGGATTCGTGAGATGTTATCCCAGGCAGTAGGAAGCCCTCGTACTTCGGAAGTGGGGAAAGCGGTGTCCTAAGCTACTACAGATCAGCGAACTTCATCGATGGGAGAATTTTTTTTTGTTTTAGGTAATCTGAATATGTTTTGAACCCGTTGGAGGCGGATGCTGAGTTCAAGTTTTGATAAGCCATAATAAACCCACTAGTGAACTATAGTGTCAAGATGATGTTCATAGTGACAGTTCTGTATGAGCAACATGATCCCCTGAAGAAACTTTTCAGGGCGCTATTCTATGGCCTATTCTGTGCACCAATCACATTTACTTTTTGCGTGTGGTCACGTATAATCGGTCGTCACTGTCGGATGACAACATCGTCGATGACATACATCATCGAGAAGAAAAGATCACTCAAAGTATGGTCGTACACCTTTATCCACGTTCAGCCATGAGGCCTGCTTGCGCGAAGGTGACGGGAGTCAGAAATAGGGCAGGATAAAAAGCATAAGACACGATAGTTTGGTACCTGCTTAGAAGTGGTAGCAGGGGTTCTATTCAATAGGAAACTGACGAAATGCTAAGTTGAACGGCCAAAAACCTAGGGCATTGGAAG